AAAAAAAAAATGAAAATAGTTCAAAACTTTTAATAGTTATTTATATAAAAATTCAAATAATATACATATTCAAATGAACACTAATTGTCGAACATATATGCTAAGGCACACTAAAGTTGCAATCAAGCAGGGGAAGGTTTTCAGAGGGAGATATAGATAGAGCATTGCTCAATCTGTTTTTTGTTCAACTCCGACTTGGTCTTTCTGATGGAGCTCCTGCGAGAAATCGATCCTCGAACATTAGACCTCAAGACGTATGTTCTTCAGAGCACAAGAAGTTGGCTCTTGAAGCGAGGTATTGTGCTTCTAAAGAATGACAAGAAATTCCTTTCATTACATAAACACAGTATCTCTTCACTAACCATTGTGTCTCGGTGCCCGCACGGAGACACGACCACACGGAGACACGAGAACGTGTCTCCGTGAAGAGACATGACTGCACGAAAATTGATGGATACTAGTTCAGACTAAAATTGTTACATCCAGTTTCGTTGGATCTCATTTAGTCTTCTCTTCTAGTGTCTCTTTAATAAGTATTCGAATGTACGTCGAATACTTTTCAATTTTAATAACGAAAAACGAGATGTCACGCTTGGCATAAATACGTTCTCATCTAACGAATGTATTATCATTTTGTTGAATATTTCTAGTCATTTTCATATAATTGATTAATATTAGTCAATAATTGAGATTCACATAATCTTTAATCAATTAAAATCTTGAGACGAAAGTATTCTAATAGAAATTAACTAGAAATCTTTTAAAGATATAGTGTGTAAAATAAAATACTCAAAAGAATCGAAATTTATAAGTAAGAATTCAATTCATTACTTCGAATGTCAAGCTTATTTCATATTTGAATATTCGTCCACACTCGATACAAAAGAATAATAGCTGTAGTAGTCTTTGTAAAGGTTTGAAATCAATTCACAAGTGATTACATTTTAGCTAGCGTGATATCTGGGAACAAGTTTTACGAAGCTTAAAAATAAGTTAAAATTACTTTCATTTCAAACATGTTTGAAAATGTTTTTTTTTTTTCTTACTTTCATGTTTTAAGTAAAAAATTCTTCATGTGGGCTTTAGAGGGCTAGGCCCTTTCTCTTTGATGGGCCAGACAGGCTCTGTTCAGTTCAGAAATGGACAATATCGGCATTAAGTTGATTCCCAGCCCAATAAAATCTTGTAACACTAACATAATAGCACTCA